GAATATTTCTGAACAATTTCGAGTCGTGTTGGATTTGTTTTTAGACTTTTTGCTCAAATTTTAGATCATTTAAAGAAAAAGTTGAGTCATTTAGGATGGTTTTTGTGTCCTTTTGGATGCATATCGAGTCTTTCTGGACAACTCTGAGTCATGCTGGATTCACTTTGAGATATTTTGGAGAAACTTTGAGTCATTCAATACTCATCTTCAGTTATTTAGGACAAACATTTGAGTTGTTCAGGATACATAGTGAGTCATATCGGACCATTTCTGAATCATTTTGGACAGTTCTGAGTCATGGGGGACCATTTGTCAATCATTTTGGATTCGTGTTGGAGGGTTTCCTCCACTGTTTGTTTGTTTTCGAGGTGAATGTGTTGTCTTGCCTCTCTGGGCTCGTTAGAAATCTGATTTGATGCAGAGACGGCGGTGAACACAGATGCAGCAGAGCAACGGCCCAACAGGAGGCTCGTCTCTGAGCTGGATGACGCTGACTTCACACCTGGATGTTTGTGCTTCTTTATTCTGACCGAGCCTGACAAAGCGTCTCGGCTCCGGCCTCGTTGACCCTCTCCAACCTCCAGTCGCCTGCTTTAACAGATTCATCAGGCGAAGCTGACTCACTGGATTAAAGCAGACGGAGGCCAGAGCTGCAGGCTGCTCTCTAATTCAGCTCCTCACGTTTGCTAAGTTTAGCTGCAGTCCGGCTGCTTCGGGTCTGCAGGGTTTCACTGCGTTGCCCTCTGGAGGCTGAAACGTCTGAACGGATCAGGAGCTTCTGACTCTTCCTGTTTCAGCCGCTGACCTTTAATTCTCCGAGAAGCTTCCTGAGCTCAGAATCAGACAAACTGAGCAGTTTGTTCACGAAACATAAAGCGAAGATCAGCAGCAGCAGCACAAAACAACAAAAACGTCAAATTAGGAAGCCAAGAGGCTGCAGACAGAAAACCACGACTGCCAGGATGCAGCGCAGCAGCCGCCATCTGATCTGACAAAAGTCCTTTTCAACATGTTTTGTCGTTTTGGAGTCATGTTTGGACGACGGTTGGTCAACTCCTCCTCAGCCATTCTCTACATATTTAGTCACTTTGGAGACAGTCATTTTGAACTGAGGTTTGTCATTTGGGGTACTTTTTACTCACTTTGGACGATTTTATTTTGACAAATCAAGTCATTTTGAACATGTGGACCATTTCTGGGCAACTACTGAGCAATTCTGCAATTTTGTCATTTTGAAAACATTTAGTCATTTTGGAGTCATTTGAAACTGAGGGTGTGTCATTTAGGACACATTGACTAATTCTGGACAAGGTTTTCTAACAAACTATGAATCATTTTGTACATTTGTTTGATATTTCGGTAAAACTTTGAGTGATGTTGTTCTGGCCGGTTGGAGAACCCAGGTGCAGACACAGATCAGACAGGCCAAGATTAAAAGGTTTTATTAAACAAAGGAATGAAACTGAAAACCAGCAGCAGGAGAAGGCAGGCCGGAGACAGGTCGGGGGTCGGCAGAGACACAGGGCTGCATAGTCTATGATCTGGAGGAATGAGCTGAGTCCTTCATGGAGCAGAAGGTGGTTGTGGACAGGTGAGCCGATCCTCACAGCTGTCTCCAGCACCTGCATCAAGCAGCCTGAGTGCAGGGCTGGTGGACAGAGAGGGAGAGGCGGGGACGTAGGCCGAGGCTGGGGGGTCATGACGGATTTTGTTTTCATTTCATCCATCCATCATCCATACATCTTAATCCTGGAGTCTATCCCAGCTGACTCAGGGTGAAGGCAGGTTCACCTGGACAGGTAACCAGTCTATCACAGGGCTACACTTAGAGACAGACAACCAAGCA